ATTAATTAATGGTTTTCGTAAAAATGATATTTTTTCATTTGATAATTTTAAAAAATTTTCATCACTACGCGGTGTTGAACAATTAAATTGTTTAAGTCAAGCTGGTTTTTCATCACAAATTCCATTATTTATTGAAATTACAATAAAAAATCAAGCTGGCATTGTTGATGTTAGTAATTTATTAAATGATAATTCATTTTATGTTACATCAAATTTTCAATTTGTTTTAGATGATATACGTTTTAAACATAATATGGGTCAAAGAATGATGAGTATGAAAATGCATGATAATAAAATTCCAACTGAAAAAAGAATTATTCAAATGGCAAATCGACTTTCTGAATTATTTTCCACGGAAACTAAATTTTATTCCAATGATGTTGAAATTTTAGAATAATAATTTTTTTAGTCTACAAATTTATTTTTCTTATAGAAAAAATTGTATTGTACATATATATATATATATATATAGAAATTGTAAATTTTTGTTGACTATAAATTATTTTAATTATTGTGTTATATTTTTTTTTTCTTTTTTGATAAGAAATTCTGTTAAACAAATAAAATATATTTACGTTTAAAAAATAATAAATTTATTTTAAAAATAATAAATTTATTTTAAAAAATAATAAATAAATTAATAGTACAAGTGGAAAATTTTTTTTTTATTTGTTTAAAAATTTGCACAACAATGTGTCATTTAATTTATATTTATTTATCTTATTTAAAATTCAATTTACTTTTGCAAAAGATAAGAAATTTAAAAATAGTTAAAAGTAAAAGACGAATTATATTCGGAAATGTCAATTTTTCTATCTTTTATTTGTTAATTTGTAAGCGAGAATGAAAAATTATATATAAGGTAAAATTTATAAGAAAATAGGTAAGTCTTAATGTATTTTAATTTTTCTTTTTTATTTATTAATTTTAAGAGAAAAATTTTTTAAATGTTTTTGTTGGATTTACATTCGAAAAAACGGAGATAAAGTTAATTTTTTGTTTTAGAAATTAGGATTTGAAAGAGGGGAATTAAAATTTTTTTTTTAAAAGTAATTGAATTTCAAAATATTATAAATTTTTTAAATATTAATTAAATATTTAATTGAAATATATTTTCAGATAATTGAATTTTTTAAAGAATTTTTATTAAAATTATTGAAAATAATTAATTTCGTTAAGAATTTTATTAAAAATTATTAAAAATAATTAATTTTTTAAACAATTTTACTAAAATTATTGAAAATAATTATTTTAGCAAAAGAATTTTATTAAAATTATTGAAAATAATTAATTTCGCATAGAATTTTATTAAAATTATTGAAAATAATAATTTTGCAAAGAATTCTTACAAAATAATTGAAAATAATTATTTTAAAAAAGAATTTTTATAAAATTATTGTAAATAAATAATTTCGCAAAGAATTTTGCTAAAATTATTGTAAATAAATAATTTCGCAATGAATATAACTAAAATTATTAAAAATTATAATTTATTATTATTATTATTATTATTAATCAAACTAGTGATGGACGTACAAGTCAAGATCGGGATTTAGTTCAGCATCTGGATTTAATTCATAACCAGGATTTAGTTCAGCATCAGGATTTAGTTCACCATCAGGAAATACTACAGAATCAAGATTTAATTCCGAATCAGGAATTATCTCACCAACGGGAATTACTAGAGGATCAGGATTTAGTATCGAATCAGGAATTACCTTAGCATCAGGAATTACTAGAGGATCAGAAATTAATTCAGAACCATTATTTACTTCAGAACCAGTATTTAGTTCCGCATCAGGATTTAATTCAGAATCAGGAATTACCTCAGCATCAGGAATTACTAGAGGATCAGGAATTAATTCAGAACCATCATTTACTTCAGAACCAGTATTTAGTTCAGCATCAGGATTTAATTCAGAATCAGGAATTACCTCAGCATCAGGAATTAATTCAGAGCCAGCATTTACTTCAGAATCAGTATTTAGTTCCGCATCAGGATTTAATTCAGCATCAGGAATTACCTCAGTATCGGGATTTAATTCAAAACCAGAATTTAATTCAATATCAGGAATTAATTCGGGATCAGAATTTAGTTCACAATGAGGAATTACCTCAGCATCGTGAATTAATTCAGAATCAGAATTTTGTTCAAAATCAGGAATTACTTATCAATCAAAATTTTATTCAGCATCAGGAATTACCTCAGAATCATGTTGAACAAAATAATAATCCCCAATTTCCTGGCACTGAAATTGAAATTAATTTAAGAGGAAATCTCCAAGGTTTAAATTTGCCACATATGACAAATTTAGAATTCACTGGAACTTTAAGGGGAAATCTAGCAGGTTACAATATCCCTCAGGTTCCAAATGACGAATTACCTTCAACATCAAAAGGAATTGGTAAATTAAAATCCAATGTTTTAGAAGATTTTCATTCAAAAACATTGGATGGTATTTCAAATACCGGTGAGCAAGTACCATTGATTCATAATAACTATTATAAATACAATTCTTTACCCACGGAAATTACAGATGAGAATCTTTTTTTCCAAAAAGCACCAGAACTAGATCCAAAATTCTATCAAAATATCATAAAAGAAACAACTTATTCAAAATATGTAGATATTCTAAAAATATGGAAAAATTATGGTTTAGCAAATTTGAAAAGATATAGGGAAAAAATAAATTTTCTACGTTTTGCTGTTAATAAATTAGCTATTTTACAATTAGAAACAGTAATTCCTCTACAAATACCAAAGAAACTTTATTATACACAAATTTTATCTGATCCAGTAATTATTAATTATTTAAGAAATATGAAAGGTAAATTATTTTTCTTTAATGACATTACTCTATTGCAAAATAATCCACCTGGCCAATTAACAATAAGAAAATTAAAATATTCACCATTAGAAACAGAGGTACGTTATCATTTAAAAATTGATTACACTTATGGATTTAATGATTTAACAAAATTTCACAATGAATTTGAAAATAATTATCTTACATTCAACGATATTTTCTTTACAATGACAAATTCCTATTTTACCAATCATAATAGAATATTAAATATTGAATTCAAATATCATCATATGACAAAAAATGTATGGCAATATTTAAGAGAAAAAAATATTGAAATTTTTTGGGAAAATAAAAATATTATTGAATCATCAAGAATGTTGAGTATTTCTAATGCTGCTAATTTTTTATCTGATAATGTTCCACATTGTACAAGTGAATCATCGAAAGATTTTCTTTCAAATTATATATTACGAAAAAATACAAATTCTAATAGTTTTGTACCAAATTATGATAAATTTGCAATTGATATAAAAAATGAGAAATATCTATTTCATTATGATTTTTGGAAAATTGAAAATAATCATTACATTAAAGATGTATTGTTAAATTATAATTTGGATTATAAAATTAATTTAAATCAAGCACAAAAAAAAATTTATGAACTTTATCAATATTTACATTTGGAAAATATTGAAAAAACATTTGAAAATTATATAACAATTTTTAATGTTGAACGTCATATTCGTTTTGAAGATTATTATGCACTTTATTCTATTATTGAAAATAAAATATTGAGAAATAATGTTGGAATTAGAAGATTTGAAGTTGCTATTAATCGACTTGGATTAAGACAATGTGATAATGAAGAATTAATCATGACACCAATAACATTACATCGTGGTGAAATAATAACAAGAAAATTGTCGAAAAAATTTTTCAAATTATTTAAAAACAAAAATATTTTTATATTTGATAATTTTAAAAATTTCTCATCAAATCGTGGTATTGAATTAATTAATTGTTTAAATCATGGTATATCAGTACAACAAATTCCATTGTTAATGGAGATAACATTAGAAAATCAAGCTGGCGTTGTTGATGTTAATCGTATTTTAAATTTTGATAATATATTTCATGTTGTTGTTGCTGGTTTGGAATTTTTAATAGATGATGTGAAATTTGAAAAAATTCTTCATCAGGAAATAATGATTATAAAAATGCATGACTATACAACGACGGAAAGAAGAATGATTCAAATGTCAAGGAAATTGGAAAAATTATTTTCAACAAATACTAAATTTTTTTCAGATACAGTTTGACAAAAAAAAAAAATTCAACCAAAAATTTGTAACACTAAATTTATGTTAAAAATTTTTAAATAAATAAAATATTGATAAAAATATAAAAAATTTTGAAATAATTTTTGGGGTTTTTTATATGGGGTTAATTAAATATTAGTTAAATAATTATTAATTAACTATCAAAATAATTCCCTTACTTAATAATTAATTAGGTTATTAACTATTAATTAATAATTAGCTATTAATTAATAATTAACCAGTAATTAATTAGTTTATTTATTATTAACTATTAATTAATTAGTTGTTAATTAAAATTGACTTATAGCGAAAGTTCATTAATTTTTAAGGCAATGTTTAAGACACGTGTAAAGTAACAATATCCTTGAAATGATATTTAGTATTCATAAAAAACAAATTAATTTCACAAATAAATATATATTTATTCAGCTGAACATACAAAAAAAGGGTAAATAATTTTTTTTCATATAACAAAGTTTGGTATTTATTTTTTTTTTTTTATTGACAAAAAACTAACAACAAAAGCATATATTAACTCACAAATAGTGTAATTTCTAAAAGTCAAGACTTAAAAGGCAAAATTTTCTGTCTAATATAACATCTATTATGTCAAAGTGAGAAAAAAAAATTTATGGTAATTTGAAAAAAAATTTCAATAAAATCAATGAAAATTTAATTTTAATTCTAATTTTTTTTCATAAAAATATAATTTTTTTTTGATGAAAATAATTATTTTGTATTTCTATTTTTATTATTATTATTATTATTATTATTATTATTATTATTATTGATTGCATTCTATTATTATTTATAAATAAATCTTTTTATTCATACATTTATAATGCTGTTCTCCAGTATAATTGATAATTCGATTTATTTTCATTCTCCTTTTTTATTTGTAATATTATTAATTTTTAAACTTTTTAAATTATTTACATTTATTGTTTTCTTTAATTTATAAAAAATTGAATTTCCCTCACTATATTAAAATAAACGCACGATTTTTTATAATAACACTAAGAATCAAATTTTCGCGCATTAAATTTTTTTTAACAACTGTCGGTAACGAAGAAAGTGACTTACCGTCCGAAAGAGAAAAAACAGTTATCCATTGTACGTTCATTTTTATACTGTCAAATATTAACCAAAAAAAAAAAAAAAAAAAAAATTTAGAAATTTAATTGATTAAATAAAAAATGAATTTCAGAATCGTCAGAACAAAAGAAGATAAATATTGAACTGCAGGCAAACATTTTGTAAAAATTTAGAAGATATTTGGTAACAACTTAGCAGACGATGTTTGGTAACAATTTAGCTGACGAAATTTAATGAACAACTTAAAATGAACACGACTTCAATTTTTATACAACAGTCATTAAACTTTCAGTTTTTATCTGTTTGTCACTATATTACTATATTTGGAGTGTATTTTTACAACAAAGATTTAATTACACTTGAGGAGCGAAATAAGTCTATTTCTGTTTTAAATACTTTATTTGATTACCTCAATAAATCTCAAAATGAATCCGAGGCGAAGCTACAACTTTTAAAAAAAGTACTAAAGGGAAGTGATCTCTACGGTGGTGGAGAAAATGAAACACTTGACATGAAATACGTTGATGAAACATATCAGTACATCATTAGCAAGGCTCTATTTTCTCACTATGGAAACATTAATGGATATTTAGCTAAAATCATTAACATGGCTGATGATATAAATTACTCGGTACTTAAGGAAAAGGTGTTTCAACATCTTTCGGAAAATTACACCAGTAGGGAATATTGTTCTAATGATATTCCGTTAGGTAATTACGATTCCAAAAATAATCCGTTAAGGAATTATGGTTCTAAAAATAATCCGTTAGGAAATTATGGTTCCATAAATAATTTATTAGGGAATTATGGTTTTATAAATAATTCCTCATGGAATTCTGGTTTCAATAATATTCCTTTAGAAACTTATAGTTCCAATAATATTCTTTCAGAAAAATATAGTTCCAAACTTAACGGATTGACAATTCAAAAAGTTTTTGATGATCACATTTGGCAAATTTTCCCCCGACCCGAACAAGAAATGAGTATAATGGAAGTAAATTATATTTACGCAATGACAGGTTTAAAAATCATCAAATCCGTATCATCAACAACTCCGAATCTTACCTTCCAAGAATATATTCTAATCTCCCGCGAGCTTGATTTACAGGATTTAAATAACGAAACTTATGAAATGATAAAAAATTTATTCTCAACACCAGCATTATTTTTCTATGCCTATAATCAAAAGGCTAAATTCCAAAAAATAGATGATTTTACAAATAGTGAATTTTGGGCCAAAGTTTATAAAAATTTCTTCTCATATATTAATTCAGCTATGGAAAAAATTGTACAAGAAAATATTGAAAATAGTTTACACAATAAAATTCAGTTAAAAATGAATAAATTAAAAACAAGAACGCTTATTGCTTATGAATTACTTTTTCTAATATGTGATTATGAAAATATTGATCAAGTCTCTCGACTTAATGTGGAATTTTATAAAACCTTTTATCTTTGGATTACACAATTTTTCCTTCCCAAACATTGTGAAAAAGAGAAACTTCCCGATTTGCAAACAAATTATGAATATCAATTCAAGGAAATTGAGGAATTATACAATAAAATAGAAAGAATTGCAATTGAAAAAATATTAGTCGATAGTAAATTAATAGAAAAAATTAATTTAAATTCTACTGTTATGTTTGCGCGAGTTCCTGATTATCAGCAAGGTTGCAGTTTATGTCCACCAATTCCACGAAAGAAAAATTACGACATTTTTCTTTTATTCGCTGTTAAAGAGGAAAAAACTGAATTTTACGCTTTGCGACAAGAGAATAATACACTGTCTTTATTAATAAACAAAGGAAACGAACGAGAGTTTGCTAAAGCAATTGCTAATGATTCTTCTCTAAAAATGGAAATTGCAATATTTTCCAAAACTCTTAAATTTAGGAATGAAGATTACAGAAGTTTTATTGCCAGAGTTGCGGATATAAAAACAAAATTGTTTGTAGATAATTTGAAAATGCACTATTATGAAGAAACGGTTGGGGAGAAATTGTTAAATTTTGCAAAAACACTGATTCCATTTTACAGTTGTATCGAAAGTGCAAAAGCAGGAAGAATGGCAGAATCTGCTTTTAGTTGTTCAATGGATGTTCTCAATCTTATTCCATTTGCTGGATGGGCGACAGAATATACAGTTAAAATAGCCAATAGTTTGGCAGTAGAAATTGGTAATAAATATCTAATCACCAATACAATTGCAAGATCAGGAATTATCAGCACATTACCAATACGTGCAGTATTAAACGAAATTTCCACAATTGCTGTTCGAACCATAGCACAAGAAATTCTCACCAAAAGTTTTTTGACAGATTTAACTGTAGCTTCTCTTCGAACAATTGATCCTGGTTTTGAATCCGTATACCAAATACTTCGTTTTGGTTTAAAAGGATTAAGGAAATTATTCCAGAGTATAGTTTCTAATTTTAAGAAAATTCCCTCATTTCGAAATATGGTTGTGTCAATAAATTCCTTATTGAAGAATATAAATAAAAATTTACTAATCGATCATACGGTGCCATTGGTTTTGGCAAATAAAAACGGTTTTAGCATTGTTCGATACTTTTATCCAGGTGGAAGACACTTTTTTGGACCTACTTGCCTAACATCATTTGGATACACTGCGGAATTAAGAAGCATCGAGGGATATTCATTGCCAATTCCAGTTGTGCAGGTAAAATCCCCTGATGGAATTTTGTACAATCAATACATTCCAGAAACTGGTAGTATAATTAACACTAAATTTAAAATGGATAACAATGATATTCTCTCACGGGTTGGGTATTTAATAGATGAAATGGTTATTGGAGGATACGATATTAATGTAATTCGTAATTATCACGTTTATCATAATACAATAGAATTGAACAAAAAGCCTCTTGAGGAGAATCCTTCTGTTAATTTAGATCAAGCTAGTGATGAACGTGGAAGTCAAGATTGGAATTTAGTTCAGCATCAGGATTTAATTCAGCATCAGGATTTTATTCACAATCAAGATTTAATTCAGAATCAGCATTTAGTTCAGAATCAGGAATTATTTCAGCATCATGAATTACATCAGAATCAAGAAATACCTCAGCATCAGGAATTAATTCAGCATCAGGATTTTATTCAGAATCAAGATTTAATTCAAAATCAGCATTTAGTTCAGAATCAGGAATTATTTCAGCATCATCAATTACATCAGAATCAAGAAATACCTCAGCATCAGGAATTAATTCAAAACCAGAATTTAATTCATCATCAGGAATTACCTCATTATCAGGAATTACATCAGCATCAGGAATTAAGTATGAACCATGATTTAGTTCGGAATCAGGATTTAATTCAAATTCAGAATTTAGTTCATCATCAGGAATTATATCAAAATCCTGTTGAAGAAAACATTGCACAACAATTTACACTCAACAATTATCCCCAATATCCTATCACTGAATTTCAAATTAATTTACAAGGAACTGTTGAAGGTTTAAATTTGCCTCCAATGACAAATTTAGAATTCACCGGAACTTTAAGGAACAATTTCCCTCAGATTTCAAATGACGTATTACCTTCAACATCAAAAAGAATTGGTGAATTAAAATCTGATGTTTTAGAAGATTTTAATTCAAAAACATTAAATGGTATTTTAAATACCGGTGAGCAAGTACCATTGGTTCATGATAACTTTTATAAATACAATACTTATCCTTCGAAAATTATTTCCCAAAAAGTACAAGAACTAATTGTTCCTTCTCATAGTTCAAGTACATCTATGCTACTGAATCCTAATTTCTATCTTAATATCATAAAAGAACCAAATTATTCAAAATATGTAGATATTCTAAAAATGTGGAAAAATTATGGTTTAGCAACTTTGAAAAGAGATAAGGAGAAATTAAATTTTCTATATTTTACTGTTAATAAATTAGCTCTTTTACAATTAGACGCACGACTACCTCTAAAAGTACCAAATGAACTTTGGTATACAAAAATTTTAAAAGATCAAGAAGTTATTAATTATTTAAAAATGATTAAGGGAAAAGTATTTTTCTTTAATGATATTACTCTATTGCAAAATAAAGCACCTGGCAAATTACAATCAAGAAAATTAAAAAACGCACCATTAGAAACAGAAGTACGTTATCATTTAAAAATTGATCACTCTTATGGATTTGTCGATTTAACAAAATTTCACAATGATTTTGAAAATAATTATCTTACATTCAACGATATTTATTTTACAATGACAAATTTCTATTTTACCGATAATAATAGAATATTAAATATTCAACTCAATTATCAGCATGTTGAAAAAAATGAATGGAAAAATTTAAGAGAAAAAAATTTGGCAATTTTATTGGAAAATGAAAATATTATCGAAACATCACGTATGATGAGTATTTCTAATGCTGCTAATTTTATAACTGAAACTCTTCCACTTTCTAAAATGGAAACATTAAAAAATTCACTTTCAAATTATATTTTACGAAAAACTACAAAGTATATAAGTTCGGCACCAACTTATGAAACGTTTGCAATAAATTTAGGAAATCCAAAATTTCGTTATGCTTATGATTTTTGGAAAATTGAAAATAATCCTTACATTAAAGATGTGTTGTTTAATTATAATTTAGATTATAAAATTAATTTACATCAAGCACAAAAAAAAATTTATGAACTTTATCAATTTGTACATTTGGAAAATATTGAAAAAACATTTGAAAAATATAAAACAATTTTCAATGTTGAACGTCATATTCGTTTTGAGGATTATTATGCACTTTATTCTGTTATTGAAAATACATTCTTGAGAAATAATGATGGAATTAGAAGATTTGAAGTTGCAGTTAATCGTCTTGGATTAAGACAATGTGATAATGAAGAATTTATTATGACACCAATAACATTACATCGTGGTGAATTAATAACAAGAGAAATATCGGAAAAAATTTTCAAATTATTTAAAAACAAAAATATTTTTATATTTGATAATTTTAAAAATTTCTCACCAAATCGTGATATTGAATTTATTCATTGTTTACATAATGGTGATTTAGAACAACAAATTCCATTGTTAATGGAGATAAAATTAAAAAATCAAGCTGGTGTTGTTGATGTTAGTCGTATTTTAAATTTTAGTAATACATTTCATGTTGTTGTTGCTGGTTTAGAATTTTTAATAGATGATGTGAAATTTGAAACAATTTTTCATCAGAAAATAATGATTATGAAAATGCATGACTATACATCGACGGAAAGAAGAATGATTCAAATGTCAAGGAAATTGGAAAAATTATTTTCAACAAATACTAAATTTTTTTCAGATGCAGTTTGAAAAAAAAAAATTCACCCAAAAAATTTGTAACACTAAATTTATGTTAAAAATTTTTAAATAAATAAAATATTGATAAAAATATAAAAAATTTTGAAATAATTTTTGGGGTTTTTTATATGGGGTTAATTAAATATTAGTTAAATAATTATTAATTAACTATCAAAATAATTCCCTTACTTAATAATTAATTAGTTAATTAACTATTAATTAATAATTAGCTATTAATTAATAATTAACCAGTAATTAATTAGTTTATTTATTATTAACTACTAATTAATTAGTTACTTAGTTTGTAATTAGTTAGTTAATTAACTAATAATTTATAATTGACTATTGATTAATAATTAACTTAGAAAATAATTAATTAATTTAATTATTAATCAATTTTATTGTTTATCATTAAATGAAAAATGGTCATTATTTAAAAAATTCTAATTATTAAATTATTATTGTTATTTAAAATTGATTTATAGTGAAATTTAATAATTTTTATGGTAATATGTAAGACACGTGTAAATTAACAATACCCTTGAAATGATATTTAGATTTCATAAAAAATATTAATTTAACAAATACATTAATATTCAGCTGAGCATACAAAAAAAAGGGTAAATAATTTTTATTCATATAAAAAAGGTTACGTTTTCTTCTTTTTCTTATTGACAAAAAACTAACAACGAATGCTTAAATTAACTGACAAATAATGTAATTTTATTAAAAGTCAAAATTTTCCTTCAAATGTAACATCTATACTGTGAATGTGAGAAAAAAATATATGGTAAATAAATAATTATTTTTTTAAATAAAAATACAATTTTTTTTTTGGAATTAATATATAATATATATTTTTATTGAATAATATAATTTTTTGAGTAAAAAATAATTTTTTTAATATAAATAATAATTTACTGAAGAAAAAAATAATTTTCTTAATTAATTATTTTTATTATTATTATTATTATTATTATTATTATTATTATTAATTGCCTTATATTATTATTTATAAATAAATATTTTTCCTACATTTAAAATGCTTTTCTCTATTATTATAATAGATAATTGGATTTATTTTCATTTTCCATATTTATCTATAATATTATTAATTTTTTAACGTTTTAAATTATTTACGTTTACTGTTTTTTTTTTTAATTTATAAAAATTCAATTTCGCTAGTTATATTAAAACAAACGCACTCTTTTAAATACTGACACCATGTATATAAATCAAATTTTCCCGCGTTAAATTTTATAATCATTGTCGGTAAAGAAAAACGCGTCTTACCATACGAAAGAGAAAAAAAAACGGTTATCCATTATTGTACCTATAGAGTTCCTATCTAATTGTACACATTTCTTTATGTAATTAGTTTTATTAAAATAAATCAAATATTACGTTTTTATTTTTTTTTATCTTTTTACTAAAGATTTGAATGATTAAATAAATAATGAATTTCAGAATTGTCGGAACAAAGGAAGATAAATATTGAACAACAGAGGCGATATTTTGTAACAACTTAGGGAGAGACGATATTTTATTGACAACTTATAAGATGAACACGACATCAATTTTTATACAACAGTCATCAAACTTTCAGTTTTTATCTGTTTGTCACTATATTACTATATTTGGATTATATTTTTACAACAAAGATTTAATTACACTTGAGGAGCGAAATAAATCTATTTCTGTTTTAAATACTTTATTTGATTACCTCAATAAATCTCAAAATGAATCCGAGGCGAAGCTACAACTTTTAAAAAAAGTACTAAAGGGAAGTGATCTCTACGGTGGTGGAGAAAATGAATCACTTGACATAAAATACGTTGATGAAACATATCAGTACATTATTAGCGAGGCTCTATTTTCTCACTATGGAAACATTAATGGATATTTGGCTAAAATCATTAACATGGCTGATGATATAAATTACTCGGTACTTAAGGAAAAGGTGTTTCAACATCTTTCGGAAAATTACACAAATAGGGAATATTGTTCCAATGATATACCGTTAGATAATTACGATTCCGATAATAATCCGTTAGGGAATTTTGGTTCCAAAAATAATCCTCTAGGGAATTATGGTTCCAATAATATTTCGTCAGGAAATTATGGTTTCAATAATATTTCGTCAGGAAATTATAGTTCCAAACTTAACGAATTAACAATTCAAAAAGTTTTTGATGATCACATTTGGAGAATTTTTCCTCAACCCGAACAGGACATGAGCATAATGGAAGTGAATTACATATATGCAATGGTTGGTTTAAAAATCATTAGATCTGTATCATCTACGTCTCCGAATCTTACTTTCCACGAATATATTCTAATCTCCCGCGAGCTTGATTTACAGGATTTAAATAACGAAACTTATGAAATGATAAAAATTTTATTCTCAACACCAGCATTATTTTTCTATGCCTATAATCAAAAGGCTAAATTCCAAAAAATAGATGATTTTACAAATGGTGAATTTTGGGCTAAAGTTTATAAAAATTTCTTCTCATATATTAATTCAGCTATGGAAAAAATTGTACAAGAAAATATTGAAAATAGTTTACACAATAAAATTCAGTTAAAAATGAATAAATTAAAAACAAGAACGTTTATTGCTTATGAATTACTTTTTCTAATATGTGATTATGAAAATATTGCACAAGTCTCGCCAATTCATGTGGAATTTTATAAAACCTTTTATCTTTGGATTACAAAATTTTTCCTTCCCAAACGTTGTGATAAAGTGAATCTTCCCGATTTGCAAAAACGTTATGAATATCAATTCAAGGAAATTGAGGAATTATACAATAAAATAGAAAGAATTGCAATTGAAAAAGTATTAGTCGATAGTGAATTAATAGAAAAAATTAATTTAAATTCTACTGTTATGTTTGCGCGAGTTCCTGATTATCAGCAAGGTTGCAATTTATGTTCACCAATTCCACGAAAGGAAAATGACGACATTTTTCTTTTATTCGCTGTTAAAGAGGAAAAAACTGAATTTTATGCTTTGCGGCAAGAGAATAATACATTGTCTTTATTAATAAACAAAGGAAACGAACGAGAGTTTGCTAAAGCAATTGCTAATGATTCTTCTCTAAAAATGGAAATTGCAGTATTTTCCAAAACTCTTAAATCTAGGAATGAAGATTACAGAAGTTTTATTGCCAGAGTTGCGGATATAAAAACAAAATTGTTTGTAGATAATTTGAAAATGCACTATTATGAAGAAACGGAAGGGGAGAAATTATTAAATTTTGCAAAAGCACTGATTCCATTTTACAGTTGTATCGAAAGTGCAAAAGCAGGAAGAATGGCAGAATCTGCTTTTAGTTGTTCAATGGATGTTCTCAGTCTTATTCCATTTGCTGGATGGGCGACAGAATATACAGTTAAAATAACCAATAGTTTGGCAGTAGAAATTGGTAATAAATATCTAATCACCAATACAATTGCAAGATCAGGAATTATCAGCACATTACCAATAAGTGCAGTATTAAATGAAATTTCCACAATTGCTGTTCGAACCATAGCACAAGAAATTCTCACCAAAAGTTTTTTGACAGATTTAACTGTAGCTTCTCTTCGAACAATTGATCCTGGTTTTGAATCCGTATACCAAATACTTCGTTTTGGTTTAAAAGGATTAAGGAAATTATTCCAGAGTATAGTTTCTAATTTTAAGAAAATTCCCTCATTTCGAAATATGGTTGTGTCAATAAATTCCTTACTGGAGAATATAAATATAAATTTACTAATCGATCATACAGTACCATTGGTTTTGTCAAATCAAAACGATTTTAACATTGTTCGATACTTTTATCCAGGTGGTAGACACTTTTTTGGACCTACTTGCTTAACATCATTTGGAAACACTGCGGAATTAAGAAGCATCGAGGGGTATTCATTTCCAATTCCAGTTGTGCAGGAAAAATCCCCTGATGGAATTTTGTACAAACAATATATTCCGGAAACGGATAAATTTTCTGATTTTACTTTTAAAAAGGGTGCAGACGATATTCTCCGTCGTGTTGGATATTTAATAGACACTATGGTTTTAGAGGGACGTGATATAAATATAATTCGTGACTATCATGTTTATCATAATACAATACAGTTGAGCAAGACTGCTCAAAAAACAGAAGGTCTAGTTCAAAATCCCGTAACTGCTAGGGAAAGTATAGTTGAAAATAATTTAGAATTTTCAAATCCAAATAATTTTCAAGAAAACACTATTAATCCACAATTGAATACTGCAGTTAATAATCCATTTCTGAATTCTGAATTTCAAATTAATTTACGTGGAAACGTTGAAGGACACAATTTCCCTCAGGTGACAAATATTGAATTTATCGGAACGTTGAGGGGACACATAGCGGGATATAATTTCCCTCAAATTCCAAAATCCGAATTACCTAGTACTTCAAAAGGAATTATAAAAACGGAATTTGGATCTGATTTTTCAAATGTCGTTCAAGAGGCACCAAAATTTAAATTGCTTCCCGATGACATGAATTTAAAAAAAAGTACAGCAATGGATTACAGTTATCAAATAGTTAATCCAGATGCTGTAAATACAGTAAAAAATGACAATTTTGTTTCATATACTCATAAAAAATTCGATGGAATTATTTCAGGAAGAAAGAGAAAACTAAATGAAATTTCCGAAACTCCGGAAATATTACTAAAAAATCAAAAAATAGATGAAAATACTCAAAATGAAAAGATAAGAGATGAGATTAATAATAAAATTGATGTTTCTACAGAATTTAAAAAATTACCAACTGAAATAAATCCAATGTATTATAAATTTAATATTCGTGAACCAACATATTCACGATATGTTGATATTCTTTGGATGTTAAAAAATGATGGTTTATCATCAATTAAGTTGAATAAAGAAAAATTTAATTTCCTACGCATTGCTGTTAATCAATTAGCTTTATTTCAATTAAACAATGGAATAAAATTACAAAAACGAATTAAATTATGGTTAACAAAAATTGTCGTTGGCCAACAAAATATTGACTATTTAAAAAATTTAAATGGAAGAAAATTTTTCTTCAACGATATTACATTATTCAGTAATAAAGCACCAGGTCCTGTTAGAAAAAATTTAAAATTCTATTCCCTAGAAACAGAAGTAAGATATCATTTAACAGTTGAATCTTCATATGGATTTGTTGATTTAACAAAATTTCATGATAAATTCCAAAATAATTATCTAACATTTAATGATCTTTTTTTTACAGTAAGTGATACATTTTTTACAGCTAATAATAGAATTTTAAATATTGAACTAAAATGCGATGGTGTATTAAAAAATACATGGCGTTTATTGAGAGAGCAGGAGATTAGAAATATAATTAATGAACCAAATATTTTAGAATCATCACGTATGAAATCAATTTCAATTGCTGCTAATTTTATGACTGACAATGCACCATTATGTACATTTAAAGCGTCAAGAAAATTTCTCGCTAATTATATTTTAGATACAAAATCAATTGGTAATCGTGTTCCATCTTATGATAAATTAGCTGAGGATATAAAAAATATGGAATTAAGATATTTTTACAATAATTGGCGAATCAAAGAAAATCGTTACATTCAAGATGTATTATTTAATTATAATTTAGATAATATCATTGAATTATCAGAAGCAAAACGTAGAATTCATGATTTATATGATTTAGTTTATTATCAAAATATTCAAGAGGCATTTGAAAATTATCAAAAAATACCAAATTATGAACAAAAATTTCGTTTTGAAGATTATTATGTACTTTATTCACATTTTAATAATAAATTAATAACAAATAAAGATGGAATAAGAAGATTGGAAGTTGCAATTAATCGTCTTGCATTAAGACAAAGTGCTGATGAATCAATTATTATGAAAACAATAACACTCTATCATGGTGAAATGATTAATAAAGAAATGGCTGCTAAACATTTTCAAACATTTAAAAAAAATGAAAATATTGAATTTGATAAAATGAAAAAATTTTCATTACCACGTGATGTTGAATTGGTAAAATTATTAAATAAAGCACGTACATCAACGGAAATTCCTTTATTAATGGAAATTACATTAACAAATCAATTGGGTGTTGTTGATATTGGTCGTGCTATTAATGAGGATAAATCATTTTATGTTGTTAGACGACAATTTCAATTTGTATTGGATTATATACATAAGGAAAAAATTCATGGTCAAAATGTATTACTTATTAAAATGCATGATGAAACTGATCCAACGGAAACAAGAATGGTACAAATGGCAAATAGACTTCATGAACTATATTCAATGGATACTAAATTTTTCTCGGATGTTAATTAATAATTATTATTTCATTAGCAAATTACTGGAGGCTGTTGTATTAAATTAAATAATTAAATAATTAAATAATTAAATAATTAAATAATTAAATAAATAAATTATAAATAGATAAATATTTCCAAATTAATTTAGTATTACAATATTTAATTACCCCTTAATTTCCTCTAATTCGGCTATCGTCGATATTTATCCTTGAATTATATATGCGGTATTCGAACGAATTTTTTGAAATTAGAATATAAAATTAAAAAAACAAATTTTCCTAACACTCCTGGCACTACGCGATATATTGTAAACAAAATTTAAATTTAATAAAAAATTAAATTCGTATTCCCTACGTCAAGACAAATCGATCAGTATATATATATATATATATATATATATATATATATATATATATAAAGTATAGTTTTAATTTTAATTTAAAGAATTAATGAAAGTTAAAAAATCAAAAATTCACATTTTGGCTATAAAATTTTGTGATTATTTAAATTCAAGTTTAAATATAAAATAATTGTGTTCCTTGCATTGAAACGAATCAAAATAATTAAAAATAATTATTAATTATATATTATTATTATTTTTCATTAATATTTAGAAATTTCAGTTAAAATGTGTATTCTTGATTTTTTAACTTTCATTAACTCTTTAAATTTAACTCAAATGTTTATATTATTATACTATTTTTGTATATGTTTAATTCAATGTTAATTATGCTTTCTCCACGAGGAAGCAAATTTTTTTTTTGCTGATCGTAAAGAGGAAGCAAAATGTTCATATAATGAACATCTGAATTTAATAGGGGTCTCCCTCAACTTGTATTTTTTTTCTACACTTTTAGGTGTATTTTGTGCAAGAATTTGCAATAAAATCGTCTACCTAAGAAAAATTGCATTTTTTTTGGGAATTTTTTTATGATTTATTCATTTATTAAAACTAATTATTTAATTTATTTAAAATAAAATAATTCATTCATATTAATTAATTCATTCATTTAAATTAAATAATTAGTTCATTGAAATTATTTAATTTATTCATTGAAATTAATTTATTTCAAGTCAATTAATTTATTAAATTATTCAATAAATCATTTGTTTCTAATTAGTAGATTGTAATTTATTTCTTTTTATTATTAAATATCAATTTTAAAAGTAATTTTTCTTTTTTTTTTGTTTTTGTCAATTCTCTATTGTAAAATTTTTTTTTTAAAAAAAAAGGTAACTTAACAGTTTTATTCTGAAAAATTTTAAATTGTAATTTTTTTTTTAAATTTTGTAGAAAAAAAAGTAATAATAGCACTATTATAATATTGATTTTAATTATTTATTGAGAAAAAAAAAATTGCTTGCGCATTTTTTCTACATAGATAAATATCAATTTATATGCGAATATATTGAATATATAAAATTATTATTTAATACATGCTAAAATAAAATATATATATATAAAAAAAAATTTATTATATGACGCAAATAAATGTAAATAAATATTATATACCTAATTACATAATAATCAGCAACTGAATATACAAAAATGAAAAAAATATACATAAAATTTTTCTATTTAAAAGGCGAACTTTTACATTTCGTCTATGTTATAAAATTAAGGAATAGTCATATATAAGTAAATGTCTTATTCGGCAATTTTTTTCTTTCATTCTATTATTGTGTGTAAATTGAATTAATTATTTAAGGTTATTAGAGAAGGTAAAAATTATTGTTATTAATTTATTATTATTTAATAACAGTTTATTAATAATTTTCGAGAAAAAAACATTATACTTTATATATATATATATATATATATATTTATATATTTTATAATAAAAGATCCAATTGACAGTATTTTTTAATATAATAAAAGAATATTTAATTATTTAAATTTGAATTACCCGTGTGGAAAAAGCCACGATCTTGCCCTCAAGAGTTCGGGGCCCCCGGCGGGGGCCCATGAGGGCTGATCCATATGGCGAATCCATGAGGGGCACCGCAGGGGCCCCGCATGGATCGCCCTCATGATCGATTAGCAAAATTTTCTAAGTCCAAAAATCAAATATTTTTTTATCACCAAAAAATGAATGTTTCCAATGATTCAAAACAACGAAAAACGCGTTTTTAATAAAAATATATTTACACTTTTTTGAAAATAACACTCACACTTATGGCAAAATAGATGAGGGCCACCGTAGGGGCCCGCATGGATCGCCCTCATGATCGATTAGCAAAATTTTCTAAGTCCAAAATTCAAATATTTTTTCGTCAACAAAAAATGAATGTTTCCAATGATTCAGAACAACGAAAAACGCGTTTTTAATAAAAATATATTTACACTTTTTTTGAAAATTCACCTGAGATGATTCATGATAATAATCATAAAGCATATAATTAATTATATTTTATAAATTGCATTTGATTGGAAAATATAATTTAATATCTTAACTTTAACTAAATGATGTTAAGCACTTTTCTTTGTTAGGTATTTTCAAGTTTAAATAGCATCAAGAAGTTAGCATTCGTTTTGAAGTAGCGTGCGTAGCGTAGTTGGTAAAGCGTTAGGTTCATAGTCCGTAGGTCGTAGGTTCGATTCCCCACATGCGTTAGATTTATTTATTTCTCAGGTTTGCGTTTAATCATTAATTCTATGTATGAATTAATTGAAAAATGAAAATATCCGTTAATAGTATGCATAAATTAAATATTTTTTAATTTTTTAATTAATTAATTTATTATTACTTTTAATTATATCCGACAGTTAATTAATTAGAACGTTAATTAATAAATTCAATTTGAGTAAGAATTTAATTTAAAATTGAATAATTATTAAATAAATATGTTATTTATTCATAACTTAAGCTTATTTATTATTAATTAACTTTTATTATTAATATTATTGATTAAAAAACATTATGGCAAACTTGAGGGCAAGATGAGGGCAAACGTGAGGGCCCATAAGGGCGCCCGTAGGGGCACCCTCATGGATCGCCCATGCGGGCGCCCTCATCGATGAGCATGTCGTTTCCATGAGGGGCCCCTATGGATCATCCATATGCGGCCCTCATGGCATGAGGGCGATCCATAAGGGCCCCCGCTGGGGGCCCACATCACTTTTCCACACGGGATATATTTATATTTTTAAATTTTGTATTAAAAAAACTAAATTAATAATTACACAGGAGAAAAGGAAAGAATTGTTTAACAATTATTTACAAATTTTTCCACTATATTGGAGCAATCATTATAAATTTTGCAAATTTGACGTCGAATTCGTAATCAGATTCATTTATTCTATTTTTTTCAAATGCAAAAATATTTTTAAATTTACTTATATATATATATATATATATTTATATTGTAATTTACATACCTATATTATTCGATTAACGTCATTTATATATTATTATTTATATATTTAAATTTATATTTATATATCAAATTCTTAAACAAATAATAAAAATCATTTTTAGGTTAAATAAACCAAGAAGATTATACCACAATTGAAAATCAGTGATATTGTCATTAAAATTAAAATGATCAACATTCAACAGACAACAAATTTTCAATTTCTTTCTGTTTGTCACTATATTACTATTTTTGGTTTATATTTCTACAACAAAAATTTAATTACCCTTGATGAGCGAAATCATTCTGTTCCTGTTTTAAATACTTTATTTGATTATTTCAATAAATCTACAAATGAATTTGAAGCGAAACTTCAACTTTTGAAAATAGTACTAAAGGGAAGTGATTTCTACGGTGGTGGAGAAAATGAAACACTTGACATGAAATACGTTGATGAAACATATCGGTACATTATTAACGAGGCTCTATTTTCTCATTATGGAAACATTAATGGATATTTGGCTAAAATTATTAACTCGGCGGATGATGTAAATTACTCGGTACTTAAGGAGAAGGTGTTTCAGCATCTTTCGGAAAATTACACCAGTAAGGAATATTGTTCCAATGATATTCCGTTAGGAAATTACGATTCCGATAATAATCCATTAAAGAATTATGGTTCGAAAAATAATTCATTAGGGAATTATGGTTCCAAACTTAATGGATTGACAATTAAAAAAGTTTTTAACGATTATATTTGGCAAATTTTTCCCCAACCCGAATATGACATGAGCATAATGGAAGTGAATTATATTTACGCAATGGCAGGTTTAAAAATCATTAAATCCGTATCATCAACAACTCCAAATCTTACCTTCCAAGAATATATTCTAATCTCCCGTGAAATTGATTTACAGGATTTCAACAACGAAACCTACGAAATGACACTAAATTTATTCTCAACACCAGCATTATTTTTCTACTCCTACAAACAGAAGGAAAAATTTCAAAAAATTGATTTTACCCTATTTAATGAATTTTGGATTGAAGCTTATCAAAATTTATTTACCCACATTAGTTCAACTATGCAACAAATTGTAAGAAAAAGAATTGAAAATAATCTTTATTACAAATTTGAAAATGAAATGAATACTCTTAAAAGTCGAACAGTAATTGCCACAAATATACTTAGATTACATTGTGATTATGAAAATAATGCACTAGTCTCCGAAACTGATGTCTATGTTTATAAAACCTTTTACTCTTGGATGACAAAATTAATTCTACCCAAACATTGCCAAATTGACAGTCTACCCGATTTGGAAACAGTATTTCAAAATCAATTTAAAGTTGTTGAAAATATATACAATGCAATTGAGAAACATGCAATTGAAAAAGTTTTAATTGACAGTAATTTAATTGAAAAATTAAATTCAAATTCAATTGTTCTATTTGCACGAATCCCACCAGAACAAATGTATGAGCCAATGATTGCACCAGTGACAAAAAATTTAAACAAAGACATTTACCTAACTTTTGTAATCATAAAAAATGGAGAAAGTGAATATTACGCAATTAGACAGGAAAAAAATAATCTCAACTTGCTTATAAATCGAGGAAACGAAAAAAGATTTTCCTTTGCAGTTGCTAAGGATGCGTCAGTAAAATTGGAAATTGATATAGTTGGCGGTTATCTTAAAGAAGAGAATGAAGATTACAAGATGTTTATACAAAGAATTGCTGATATAAAGACAGAAAAATTTCTAACAGAACTAAAGAATCACTATAGAGAACCAACATCAGGAGAGAAAATTTTAGATTTTCTAAAATCATTTATTCCATTTTACAGTTGTATTGAAAGTATAATAGCAAAGGATGTAAATAACGCAATATCTAGTTGCTTCTTTGATGCTTTAACTCTTATTCCATTTGCAGGTTTAGCTGCAAAATATACAACTAAAATAACCAGTGCCTTGGCAATTGAAATTAGTGAACAATTACTAATGAAAAATAGTCTTGTAAGTTTAGGAATTTTACAAAAATTAACAATTACCACAGCTTTTCGACAAATTGGCCTTAGGGCTGTTCAAACAATTGCAAATCAAATTTTAACCCGAAATCTTTTAAAAGATTTTGGTATTGCAACTTTACGAACATTAGATCCTGGATTTGAATTCCTTTATCAAATTGGCAATTCTGGTTACAGAACATTTGAAAAATTATTTCAAAATTTAATCACAAATTTTAAAAATATTCCCACTGCTAATGAATTATTGGGAATAATTAAATCCCTCTTAGTGAATGTAAAACGAAATATAAATTTACCAACCGATCATACTGGATTGGTACCATTTGTTTTTGAAAAAGAAAATAATTTAAACATTGTTCGATACATATATCCAGGTGGATCACACTTTTTTGGACCTAAATGTCTAATTATCGGAGCAGGAAAAACTGCGGAATTTAGAACTATCGAAGGATCTTCATTTCCCTTACCAGTTGTGAAAAAATCCGATTTCTACGAGCAATACAATCCAAAAACTGGTGGTACAATTGACGGGAAATTAAAAATGGATTCTAATGATATTCTCCATCGAATTGCAAATTTTATAAACGAAATGGTTATCAATGGACGTGATATAAATATAATTCGTAATTATCACGTTTATCATTATACAGAAGAATGGATGACAAAATTATCTAAAACAAATCCATCTGTAAATTTGGAACACACACCTGATGGTGCAACTTTACCTCGACAAAATTCACAACAATTAATTGTTCCTTCTTTACGTGAGGGAATGGTATTACAGAAGGGAATACAAATAATTGACAATGGAAATAATCCTCAATTATTAAATTCTGATATTCGAAATTCAAGAGAAACGAATTTTCCATTAGTAACAAATGTAGAATATTTACAACAAATTAATGAAAATTTAGCTGATCGGAATTTTCTCCAATTAACAAATTATGATCTTCCAAGTACATCAAGGGGAATAATAAATGAATCTCCCGATGAAATTACAAAAAATCGGTATCCTATTTTAAGAAATAGATTACAAGGACATATTACACAAAAGAAACAAAAAATAACAAATAAAGATATTTATCATTATCGTCATAAAAAATTCGACAATATTCTAAATAGAAGAAAATTAACTAAAATTTCAGAAACTGTGTCAAATTTAAAAATATCAGAAAGAATAAAAAATGTAAATATCGTTACAGCAGGAATAGATGAAAAACAAAATTTTCTCCCCAAATCAAAAATAAAATTATTAAACTTCAATATTCAACATTCAATATTTTATAAAAATATTCTTAATGATTTAATTTATTCAAAATATGTGAATATTTTAACAATTTTCAAAAATAATGGTTTATCATTAATGAGACGAAATAAATTAGATATTAATTTTTTACAAATTGCTTGTAATAAATTAGCGCTCATTCAATTGGATAATGTTTATTCACAACAAAAATCATTAAAATTATGGTATACAAATACTGTTAATGGATTGGCAAATATTTATAATTTAAAAAATTTGAAAGAAAAATTATTTTATTTCAATGACATTACATTATTAAATAATAAACCACCGGGTGTTATTGATAAATTTAAATTATCTTATCCAACAAAAATAGAAGTACGTTATCATTTAAAAATTGATTCATCATATGGATTTGTTGATTTAACGAATTTTCATTCTCAATTTAAAAATAATTATATAACATTCAATGATGTCTATTTTACAGTTATTGATACATTTTTTTCACCAAATAAAAAAATTTTAAATATACAATTAAAAAATCAACAAATTACAAAAGAAACATGGCGTAATTTAAGAGTGATGAATATTAATAATTTATTGAATAATAATGAAATTATTGATACAACAAGAATGAAAATAATTAAAAATGCTGCAAATTTTATGAGTGATAATATACCACTTTGTACATATGAATCGTCAAAAGAATTTCTATCAACTTTTATATTAAATGCAAAATTAAATAAAGATTTATTTGTACCAAATTATCAATTATTTGCTGAGGATTTAAATCGTATGAATTATCGTCATATTTATTCTAAATGGAAAATAAATAGCAATCGTTATATACAAGATGTGTTATTAAATTATAATTTAGATAAAAATATTGAATTAGCTGAGGCAAAACAAAGAATTAATGAAATTTATAATTTTATTAATTTACAAAATGTTGAAGAGGTTTTTTTAAATTATAAAAAAATATCAAATTATGAAAAACATATTCGATTTGAGGATTATTATGCGATATTTTCTTATTTAAAAAATAAATTATTAATGAATAAAGATGGATTAAGAAGATTTGAAGTTGCATCATATCGACTTGGATTGAGACAATGTAGTTATGAAAAATTAATTATAGAACCAATAACACTCTATTGTTATGAAAAAATTAATAGTGATACATTGAGAAATCTTCAATTATATCCAAAAGATATAATATTTCAATTTGATAGATTTAAATTATTTTCACGAATACATAATTTAAATTATTTTAATTCTATAATTGAAGAAACTGCATATGATATTCCATTATTAATTGAAATTGATGTAAAAAATCAAGCAGGTATTGTTGATATTAGCAGTGGATTTAATGATAAAAATTTATATCATATAATTAATAGTAATTTTCAATTGAAAATAATAAATATAAAAAATAAAATAGTTTTAGGTAAAAATGTATGGGTTATGAAAATGCATGATTATCGTTTAAAAAATCCAACAGAAACAAGAATGGTGAAAATGGCAAAAAAATTAAACGATTTATTATCGACTGAAACTAAATTTTACTCTGATATGTAATTAAAAAATATTTTCTTAATATTAAATTCATAATTATTATTAATCAGCAAATTAATAATAAATATTTTTAATTTTATTTGATTTATATAATTTATTTCATTACAATCAAAAACCTTCGATTTGTCTTTTAATTTATTTATTTCATTATTCATTTAATACATTCATTGAATATAAATAACATTATTTAAAGTGTAATTTACATTGTCATTTTAATGTAATAAATTTATATTGAATAATTTTTAAAATGATTATTTATTTAATAAACATTATATTTATTAAAATTAATTAATTCATTAAAATTCATTAATTTAATTACTGAAATTAATTAATTAATTAATTGAAATTCATCAATTAATGAAATCAATTAATTTATTCATCGAAATTAATTAAATCATTTATTGAGATTAATAATTTAATTTATTGAAATGATTTAATTCATTCATTGAAAATAATTCATTAATTCATTGTTACTAATTCATTCATTAGTTGAAACTAATTAATTTATTTTATGAAATTAATTAATTTGATTACTGAAATTAATGCTTTATTGAAATTGATTAATTAATTTATTGAAATTAATTAATCCATTAAAATTAATAATTAATTTAATCACTGCAATTAATTAATTAATTGAAATTCATCAATTAATGAAATCAATTAATTTATTCATCGAAATTAATTAAATCATTTATTGAGATTAATAATTTAATTTATTCAAATTATTTAATTCATTCATTAAAAATAATTCATTGATTCATTGTGACTAATTCATTCATTAGTTGAAACTAATTAATTTATTTTATGAAATTAATTAATTTGATTACTGAAATTAATGCTTTATTGAAATTGATTAATTAATTTATTGAAATTAATTAATTCGTTTAAATTAATTAATTCATTTATTGAATTAGGTAAAAATTATTGAATCAACAAAACTAAACCTCAATTGCAATGTGTCAATAAGTTTTTAGTTTTTAATTAATTAATTAATTAATTATTAATTAATCTAATTTATGAAATTAATTCTTAAAAATATTAAACTTATTCAGCTGGCTTAAAATTATTATTTCGAAATTTAAATTTATTAAAGAAATAATTATTTATTTAACAGAAAAAATTAATTTTAATATATAGAAATGAATAATTATAAAAAGGCAAATGTTGACGTTACATTTATTACTTTTCTAAATGTTTAGATATGTCGATAAAGTTTTGAAGAATTTGAACAATGAACAACTGAGCAAACAAAAAAAAAAAGGGAAACCGCAGATATCATTGTTTACAATACGATAGCGCAATTAATTTTTTTTTTTATTAAAAATCAATTTAATGACAATATTTTAAAGTAAAAGACGTGTTGTTACTTTTGTAAAAATCACTTTCTTTCTGATGTACTATTTGCTACCAAAGAAGAAACAAAAATATAAATGGTAAAATTATTATTATTATTATTATTATTATTATTATTATTATTATTATTATTATTATTATTATTATTATATTTCTTATTAATATATATATATAAAAATTTGTTTGTTAATTATATTTGCTTTTCATTAGTTATTTTATAATAGAAATATTTATATAAAAAAGCACCATTTATGAACAATAATTGCTGGAATAATTACTGTAAATTCAGTATAGTTAGTTCAGTAATTATTCCAATAGATAAAAAAATAAATATACCGTTAATTATTTCCAGTAATTATTTTTCATATATAGGACTATAATAATTAATGAAATTAATAAAAATATAATTAGTTTTAGGATTACCAAACATAAAGAATAAATAACTAACAGATAAAAAAAATTAAATAGTGGACAATTAAAATTAGACAACGGATTATATAATGAATTCATCAATCTTTATTCAACAGTCCACGAATTTTCAGTTTCTATCTGTTTGTCACTATGTTACAATTTTTGGTGTTTATTTTTACAATAAGGATTTAATTACACTTGAGGAGCAAAAACAATCTGTTACTGTTTTAAATACTTTGTTTGAGTATCTCAATAAATCTCCAGATGAATCTGAGGCAAAACTTCGGATGCTGAAGATAGTACTAAAGGGAAGTGATCTCTACGGTGGTGAAGAAAATGAAATAATTGACATGAAATACGTTAATGAAACATATCAGTATATCATTAGCGAGGCTCTATTTTCACACTATGGAAACATTAATGGATATTTGGCTAAAATCATCAACATGGCTGATGATATAAATTACTCGGTACTTAAGGAAAAGGTGTTTCAACATCTTTCGGAAAATTACACAAGTAGGGAATATTGTTTCAATGATATTCCATTGGGGAATTACGATTCCAATAATAATTCCAATTACAAATCAAAAAATATTCCTTCAGAATATAATAGTTACAAACTTAACGGATTGACAATTCAAAAAGTTTTTGATAATCACATTTGGCCAATTTTCCCCCAACCCGAAAAAGACATGAGCATAATTGACGTGGATTATATATACGCAATGGTTGGTTTAAAAATCATCAGATCTGTATCATCTGATGCTCCGAATCTTACTTTCGAAGAATATATTATAATCTCCCGTGAGATTTATTTGCAGAACTTCAGCAACGAAACCTATGAAATGGTAATAAATTTATTTTCAACACCAGCTTTATTTTTCTACGCCTACAATCAAAAGGCAAAATTTCAAGAAATTGATTTTACCCTAAATGATGAATTTTGGATCAAAGCTTATGAAAATTTATTTACTCACATGAATTTAATTATGAACAAAGTTGTACAGGAAAAAATTAAAAATAGTCTAAATTATAAATTTAACAAGAAAATTAATACTCTAAAAAGTCGTACGAACATTGCTCTAGAAATATTAAAACAATATTGTGATTATGAGCATATAGTAAAAGTACCTTCTCCCAATGTGGAGTTTTATAAAACGTTCTATCTTTGGTTAACAAAACTAATTCTTCCAAAAGAATGTGAAATTTCGAATCTTCCTAATTTGGAAGTAGAATATGAGGCTCAATTCACTGAAATAGAAAAGATCTACAATACAATTGTAAGAGATGCAATTGAAAAAGTATTAACTGATAGTAAATTAGTAAAAATGCATTCAAATGCTACTATTATATCTGCACAAGTTTCTAATTATGCGAATGAGTATATAATTATTCCACGAAAGCAAAATGAGGATATATTCCTTCTGTTTGCATTAGAAAATCAAAATATGAATCATGATTTTTATGCATTTAGACAAGTGAATAATGTTTTATCCATATTGTCAAGTAGAGAAAACAAACAAGAGTTTGCTAAAGCAGTTGCTAATGATTCGTCAGTAAAAATGGAAATTCCCAGATTTTACCAGATTTTTAAATACAGTAATGAAAATAACTGGGAATTTATCAAAAGAGTTGCCGATATAAAGGCAAAAGAATTTGTAAATAATCTGATGATGCACAATTATGATGAAACATTTGGAGAGAAAGTTTTAAATTTTGCATCATCTCTTATACCATTTTACAGTTGTATTGAAAATGCCAATGAAGGTAAAGTTGCAGATGCCACATTAAGTTGTGCCCTAGATATTGTTAGTCTTATTCCACTAGCAGGTTTTGCAGCAAAATATTCTGCTAAACTAGGCAGTAGTTTGACAATTGAAATCAGCAAAAATCACCTAATTACTAAAACACTAAGAACAGGAGTTCTTACAAAAGTGCCAATAACTTCAGTGGTAAATCACATTTCCCAAATAGTTGTCCGAACCATAGCTAGAGAAATTCTAACAAAAAAAATTTTAAAAGATTTATCTGTAGCCACCCTTCGAACAGTGGATCCTGGATTTGAATTTTCCTACCAAGTAAGCCGATTTGGTTTTCGAATATTCCGACAGTTATTTCGAAAAATTATTTCCAATTTTCCCCGAATTCCTCAAGCTAAAAAAAGTCTGTCATTATTGAAGTCTTTACTTAATTCTTTAAAACCATATAAGAATTTAATATCCGATCATACAGGCTTAGTACCATTGATTCTAGCTAAACATAATGATTACAACATTGTTCGATACTTTTATCCAAGTGGATCCCAATTATTTGGACCAAAATGTATAACGTCATTTGGAAAAACTGCGGAATTAAGAAGCATCGAAGGGTATTCATTTCCAATTCCAGTTGTACGTGAAAAATCCCCCGATGGAATTTACTACAAACAATATATTCCACAAGCTGATAAATTTTTAGATTTTAAATTTAAAAAGAATTCTAACGATATTCTTACTCGTGTTGGATATTTATTAGACAAAATGGTTTCCGAAGGACGTGACATTAATATAATTCGTAACTATCACGTTTATCATAATACAATAAACCCCAGCAAAATACCAGTTAAGGACGAATCGGCAGATTTGAATCAAGGAGAACCACAATCCGCAAATGCCAGAGAAAGCATAGTGGAACAGAATTTAGACCAAATCACAAATCGTGAATTACAAGACTCTTTCGATCGAAATACAGTTTTTTCTCAAAATCCAAATTCTGAAATTCAAGTCACCTTGAGGGGAAATTTATTAGGTGACAATATTCCTCTAGTTACAAATGTCGAATTCGTAGGAACATTGAGAGGTAACATAGGGGGTCTTAATTTTCCTCTAGTTCCTAAATTTGAACAACCGGGAACATCAAAAGAAATTCTAAAAACAGATAACGATGCTCAAAATTCATTTTCTTCTATTGCTTTAAAAGATGATTTGAAACCAAAAAAAAAAATACAATTGGTATCAAATACCAATGACAGAGCAAATGAAAATCAGTTAATAAATTCACAAATTCCACTAACTGTAATAGAGGGTGATTTTATTAAAACCAAAACTGATAGAAAATTACTTTCAAAAATTCCACAAAAAATTCGTAAACTAATAGTAATGGATTATTTAGAAAATCAGCGTACTCAAGAACTTGATAATATTCCCAGTACATCAGGCCAATTTAAAAAGAATTATCCACTTTCAAAAATACATGAAACAATACTTAATCTTAAACCTCCTCGTACAGCAGAACAATATGAAATGTACAGAGATCATTTATCAAAATTTTTGAAACCAAAAACATATTCAAGATATGCAAATATTCTAATTATGTGGAAAAATTATGGTTTATCATATATAAAACATGATAGAGATGATTTATTTTTATTACGTAACACATTAAATAGATTAGCACTTATTGAATTAGATGAAAAATTACCGCTATCTCATCCCAATGAATTGTGGTACAATCAAATTGTAACTGGACAAAATAATATTGACTTTTTAGAAAATTTAGGGGGAAAATATTTTTTTTTCAATGATCTAACAATATTGAAAACAAGTCCACCAAGCGTATCAATAATAAATAAAAAATTCCGTTTCAGTAATGTAAATCGAAATGATAAAACAATAGAGGTACGATATAGTTTGAAAATTAATTCACCATATGGAATTGTAGATATTGGTAATATTCATTATCGATTAAGAAATAGTTTCGTTACATTTAGTGATGTTTTATTTAAAGTAACGAATACATTTTTTTCTGGTAATAAACAATTTTTATATATTGAATTAAGATATGATGGTATGACAGAGGATTGTTGGCGATATTTACGAGAGCGTGATATTCAAAATTTGTATAAAGAGGGATGGAATTTAGAACATCCAAGAATGAAAAGTATTGTAAATGCTGCAAATCGTATAACAGAAAATGCACCACTTTGTACATTTGAAATATCGAGAAATTTTCTTTCAAATTACATATTAAGTACAGAATCAACAAATCATGTTCCAAGTTATGATGATTTTGCTAAGGATATTATAAATATTGAATTTACTAATTCTTATGATGAATGGAAAATACCAAGCCATCATTATATTCAAGATGTATTAGTAAAGCATAATTTGGATGAATTTATTTTATTTCCTATTGCTGAAAAAAGAATTCAGGAGATATATGATTTTGTCTATTTTCAAAATATTAAAGAGGTTTTTCAAAATTATAGAATGTTATTTAATATCGAACAACATATTCGATTTGAAGATTTTTATGTACTATATTCTTATATAAAGAATAATTTACCAATGAATATAAATGATGTAAGACGATTTGAAGCTACCATAAATCGACTTGCTCTTCGTCAATCAACAGATAATATTAAAAAATTTAGAATTTATCGCGCTGAAATAATAACAAAAGAAATTTCAATAAAATTAATGGAAATATATCGTAAGAATGAAATTTTGATATTTGATGAGATTAAACAATGTTTTCCATTTCGTAGTGTTGAGGAAATTAATTTTATGAAACATAATTTTAAGCCGACAGAAATTTCTTTATTATTGGATATTACATTAAATAATCATATTGGACTGGCACAGGTTAATGGTATTTTTAATAATGATAAAATGCCTTATGTACTTACTGCAAATTTTGAATTGATAATTGATAGTATAGAATTTGAAAGAATTTACGATCAGCAAGTGATGGTTATAAAAGTGCACGATTATGAGAGTCCAAAGGAAAAGAGAATTGTTCGAATGGCAAATAGGCTTCATGAATTATTTTCCACTGAAACTAAATTTTACTCCGACATAATGAGAAATTAATCTATATTTGTAATTTTATTGTAAATTTATTTGTTTTGATAATTAAAGTAATTTATATAATTAAATGGAAAAATTGATTATGGATTTTTATTAATTAAATGCGGCATTTATTATTCAAGATTAATTATATAATTAATATAATTTATATATAATGTTATAGCAAATTATATATATACAGTAAGAAAAGCTCCATGGTAGTCACAGCCCATGAGTGCGAGTGAGACAAACTTATGCGTAACGCATGCTTTCCTATGACTGCCATGGAGCTTTTCTTACTGTATATATATATATATATATATATATATATATATATATAAATAAATAAATTAGTAAATCAAAATTAATTAATCAGAATTCATTTCTTCATCAGAATTAATTAATCAAGATTAATTACTTATTTAAAAATAATTATTGAAACAAAATTAATTATTTCATTTTCTTCACCATTTAATTCATTAAAATTAATCAATTAATTCATTCATCTCTTAAAATTAATTAATTATTTAATTTAATTAAATAATTCATTTAAATTAATTAAATTATTTATTCAAATTAATTTATTCATTCATTTTTTTTGAAATTTATTAATTTATTCTGTTAGATAATCGAGATAATCTAGAATGATATGAAAGCGAAAGCGTATAGGTTTTTGGAGCGAAATATGCGAAACGGGAGTACGAAGCGTGCGATGGTACGATACGGGCGTATGATTTTGGAAGTGCGATCTATAACGAAATCTTTATAATAATTATCTGTATTGAGTTTATTTTTTTTTTATTATTAAATATATAATCGTATTTGTTAAATGTTAATTTGTGTCTTTAATTATTTTGTGTTCCTGAATAAATTTATCCTTTGCTAAAAATGTTCTAATAATTCAATGAAATTAATTAATTAATTCATTGAAATTACTCAATTAATATGCAGAAATCAATGAATTTTTTTTATTAAAATTAAGTAATTAATTTGTTTAGATTAATCAATTGATTTATTGAAATTAATTAATTTTTTGAAATGAATTCGTTTATTTATTGTAACTTATTCATTTACTCATTCATTTATTGAAATTAATTAATTAATTCATTAAAATTAATTTACTATTTCATCAAAATACATATTCTTTTTAATTATAGTTAAAGATTAATTTAATTAATTATTAATTTATCTGATTAATTAATTTAGTTAAATTAGATAATAATAATTATATAATTATAATTCATTAAATTAAATGGGTTCTAACTGTAATTTTAAGAAAATTGATAACGTGTTCGCTTTTTTTTAAATTTCCATTTTGTATATTTCATTTATTTAACACAAAAAAATTAATTTGAATATATATAAAAATGAAAATATTCATAAAAAAGGAAATTTTGGCGTTTCATTTGTTAATCTTTCAAATGTTTGGATATATGCCGATAAGTTTTTTTAAGAATTCAAACAATAAACAACTGAACAAACAATGAAAAAAAAATTTGCAGATAACAGTGTTTACAATAGGATGTCAAAATTAATTTTGTTATTAACAATCGATTTAATGACAATATTTCAAAGTCAAAGAAGTGTTGCAACTTTAGTAAAAATAACTTTTTTTCTCATTATACAGTAAATACAGTATAGTTATTCCAGTGTAATTATCCCAATAGTTAACAAAATAAATATGCCAGTAATTATTTCCAGTAATTATTATAGAAATTATTTTTCATATAGGAATATAATTAACGAAATTAAAAAAATATAATCAGTTTCAGTATCACGAGGCATGGAAGATTAATTAACAACAGATAAAAAAAATTAAATAGTGGACAATTAAAATTAGACAACGGATTATATAATGAATTCATCAATCTTTATTCAACAGTCCACGAATTTTCAGTTTCTATCTGTTTGTCACTATGTTACAATTTTTGGTGTTTATTTTTACAATAAGGATTTAATTACACTTGAGGAGCAAAAACAATCTGTTACTGTTTTAAATACTTTGTTTGAGTATCTCAATAAATCTCCAGATGAATCTGAGGCAAAACTTCGGATGCTGAAGATAGTACTAAAGGGAAGTGATCTCTACGGTGGTGAAGAAAATGAAATAATTGACATGAAATACGTTAATGAAACATATCAGTATATCATTAGCGAGGCTCTATTTTCACACTATGGAAACATTAATGGATATTTGGCTAAAATCATCAACATGGCTGATGATATAAATTACTCGGTACTTAAGGAGAAGGTGTATCAGCATCTTTTGGAAAATTACACAAGTAGGGAATATTGTTTCGATGATATTCCATTGGGGAATTATGTTTCTAAAAATATTACGTTAGAAAATTATGGATCCAAAAATAATCCGTTAGGAAATTATAGTTCCAAACTTAACAGATTGACAATTCAAAAAGTTTTTGATAATCACATTTGGCCAATTTTCCCCCAACCCGAAAAAGACATGAGCATAATTGACGTGGATTATATATACGCAATGGTTGGTTTAAAAATCATCAGATCTGTATCATCTGATGCTCCGAATCTTACTTTCGAAGAATATATTTTAATCTCCCGTGAGATTTATTTGCAGGACTTCAGCAACGAAACCTATGAAATGGTACTAAATTTATTCTCAACACCAGCTTTATTTTTCTATGCCTACAATCAGAGGGCTAAATTTAAAGAAATTAATTTAACCCTCAATAATGAATTTTGGATCGAAGCTTATGAAAATTTATTTACCTACATGAATTTAATTATGAACAGAATTGTACGTGGAGAAATTGAGAATAGTCTGCATTACAAACTTAACAAGAAAATTACTGCTGTAAAAAGTCGTACGAACATTGCTCTAGAAATATTAAAACAATATTGTGATTATGAGCATATAGTAAAAGTACGTTCTTCCGATGTGGAATTTTATAAAACGTTCTATCTTTGGATAACAAAATTAATTCTTCCAAAAGAATGTCAAATTTCTAATCTTCCTAATTTGGAAGTAGAATATAAGGCTCAATTCACTGAAATAGAAAAGATCTACAATACAATTGTAAGAGTTGCAATTGAAAAAGTATTAACTGATAGTAAATTAGTGAAAATTGATTCAAATGCTACTATTATTTCTGCACAAGTTCCTAACTATCAAAATGAGATGATAAATAATCCACGAAAGCAAAATGAGGATATATTTTTACTGTTTACAATAGATAAGGAAAAAATGAATCGTGATTTTTATGCATTTAGACAAGTGAATAATGTTTTATCCATATTGTCAAGTAGAGAAAACAAACAAGAGTTTGCTAAAGCAGTTGCTAATGATTCGTCAGTAAAAATGGAAATTCCCAGATTTTACCAGATTCTTAAATACAGTAATGAAGATAACAGGGGATTTATCAAAAGAGTTGCCGATATAAAGGCAAAAGAATTTGTAAATAATCTGATGATGTACAATTATGATGAAACATTTGGAGAGAAAGTGTTAAATTTTGTATCATCTCTTATTCCATTTTACAGTTGTATTGAAAATGCCAATGAAGGTAAAGTTGCAGATGCCACATTAAGTTGTGCCCTAGATATTGTTAGTCTTATTCCACTAGCAGGTTTTGCGGCAAAATATTCTGCTAAACTAGGCAGTAGTTTGACAATTGAAATCAGCAAAAATCACCTAATTACTAAAACACTAAGAACAGGAGTTCTTACAAAAGTGCCAATAACCTCAGTGGTAAATCACATTTCCCAAATAGTTGTCCGAACCATAGCTAGAGAAATTCTAACAAAAAAAATTTTAAAAGATTTATCTGTAGCCACCCTTCGAACAGTGGATCCTGGATTTGAATTTTCTTATCAAGTAAGTCGATTTGGTTTTCGAATATTCCGACAGTTATTTCAAAATATTATTTCTAATTTTCCCCGAATTTCTCATGCTGATAAAAGTCTGTCATTATTGAAGTCTTTACTGAATTCTTTAAAACAATATAAGAATTCAGTATCCGATCACACAGGTTTAGTACCATTGATTCTAGCTAAACATAATGATTACAACATTGTTCGATACTTTTATCCAAGTGGATCCCAATTATTTGGACCAAAATGTATAACGTCATTTGGAAAAACTGCGGAATTAAGAAGCATCGAAGGGTATTCATTTCCAATTCCAGTTGTACGTGAAAAATCCCCCGATGGAATTTACTACAAACAATATATTCCACAAGCTGATAAATTTTTAGATTTTAAATTTAAAAAGAATTCTAACGATATTCTCACTCGTGTTGGATATTTATTAGACAAAATGGTTTCCGAAGGACGTGACATTAATATAATTCGTAACTATCACGTTTATCATAATACAATAAACCCCAGCAAAATACCAGTTAAGGACGAATCGGCCGATTTGAATCAAGGAGAACCACAATCCGCAAATGCCAGAGAAAGCATAGTGGAACAGAATTTAGACCAAATCACAAATCGTGAATTACAAGACTCTTTCGATCGAAATACAGTTTTTTCTCAAAATCCAAATTCTGAAATTCAAGTCACCTTGAGGGGAAATTTATTAGGTGACAATATTCCTCTAGTTACAAATGTCGAATTCGTAGGAACATTGAGAGGTAACATAGGGGATCTTAATTTTCCTCTAGTTCCTAAATTTGAACAACCGGGAACATCAAAAGAAATTCTAAAAACAGATAACGATGCTCAAAATTCATTTTCTTCTAATGCCTTAAAAGATGATTTGAAACCAAAAATAGAAATACAATTGGTATCAAATACCAATGACATAGTAAATGAAAATCAGTTATTAAATTCACAAATTCCAGCCACTCTAAAGAAGAGTGATTTTAATAATCTAAAGAGGCGTGATAATAATAAAGAATCAAGAATTCCTGAAAAAATTCAAAAACTAATAAAAATTGATTCTTTAGAAATTTCGGGTACTATAGATCATCGTACTATTCCCATTACATCAAGACAATTTCAAAATCATCATCCACTATCAAAATTACATAAAACAATACTTGATCTTCAACCTGCCCATAAACCAGAACAATATAAAATATATATAGATTTAGTAAAAAAATTTTTAAAACCAAGAACATATTCAAGATATGCGGATATTTTAATAATGTGGAAAAGTTTTGGTTTATCAGTTATAAAGGAGGAAACAGATGAGTTTTATTTTTTACGTAATACATTAAATAAATTAGCACTTATTGAATTA